CAGTCTGTGGGAGGAAAGTTAAATTCTCTCATGAAAACCACTGCTTCCTTTATGCATACATACCTTATGTAGTCCTGTAAGACTGCATTATAATTCATATCTGAATTTGGTGGTCTGTAGCATACTCCTAACAGTGGGGCATTCATGTTCTTTGAATTATTTTTTTAAAACTAGGTTTGACCCATATATCTTAAGACCCTTGCTTTACCTTGGTTAGGTTCATGTGCCAGAATGCTTTTTTTTGATGTGTAATGCTAGTTCTCTACTTCTTCTATCTTTTCTGTCTCTTCACAATGTTTTCTTTCCATAAATGTTGTATTTGCAACCACTCTTATTAGCCACATTTCAGTGCTTCCAATTAAATCACAATTGCAAGTTATTACAGTTGCATTACTGGAACTGGGATTATGAAAAGTATGTAAAAGCTACAGTATGCTTGTTCAGTCCAATGCACTTTGCCTGTAATTCTCAGCCATGTCCTGTCAAGGGATTAAAAGGTGCATTAAACTTCAGAGCAGAGACACAAAGCCTTTGGTCAAATGAAAATTCCCTCTTAAGGAGAATTCCAACAGAGAGAGCAAGGGTACAAGGCAGGCTGATTGCTCTTCTATGGGACAGATTGATCTTGTCTGTAAAGACCCCATCTGACAGCTTTTACTATGTTATGGATGCAGAATTCCATGAGATGTTTTAAAATTTCCCTTTAACTAAAAGATAAAATGACAGGATTATACAGGAAGGTGCTGCTGTATTACTAAGACGTTTCATGATGGTTAAAGTCATGTGTGTGTGTTTGTTGTTGTGCAAATATATCTCCCTAATGAGCTCAGAATCTTGCTCACCAAAATACCAGTTGCCATCGTTGGTGTTAATTTGACAGAGGAAAGAGCTAATTGGCAATATGTATGTGATAAAAAAAGTCTGTGTAATTTAACAATGTGAAGGTGGCTTTTCACAGTACTGTATTTGAGCATTTGGACAGGCCTCAGGGAACTTAACTATTGAAATGTGAATTTGTAAAGTACATTATTAATACATATTTTGCCATTAAAATACAATGCAAATACAAGCTTTATTTTTGTGAGAATATACAGGTATACTGTTAACACAAATTAAGGGCATCAAATTACCTTAGTATTGAAAGATGAGTATCCTTCAGAATTACCCCCTTCATTTTCATATAAAGAAGTACTGCATGAGGAAATGATAAAAAATGATTTAGTTTTTTTAAATAATGTCTTTAAAGCCATGCAGGCACTACTATCTCCGGAAAAACTAATTTTAGGTTAAGGTTCCCTTTGGCAAGTTGTAACAAAAAAACTTTTATTCTTTATAGTTTGCATGCTGACTTTTATTAAATTTATTCATTTTAGACATGATTTGAGATAATATGTGCTGTGGCTCAGAAAGCAGCAGCTCTAATTAGATGCAGTAGGTATGCACAGCAGGACGCACCCATTGTAGGAAAGGGACATTTTGTTCTCATTTCATTCATTATAAATGTCAATTATAAGAATTGCACAATTTAACAGATAAAGAGCTTAATTCATAACAAAATGGGACTAGTAGTCCCATGCTGTTTTAGTTACTGTAAAAAGTGAAAACTCTATCAAGTATCCAAATACAGTCAAATGACTCAGTGTGTCATTAAGCAATTGACGTCTTCACTCCATTTTAAAGGGGGATGTGCAACAGATAGGCTTCAGCCACTCAAAACTGGTAAGACTCTATGATAACATAAACACTGGAAAGAGTTAAATCCAGCCCATTTGGAGTCCTCACTTGTTTTAAAGCTTCAACTCTCTGTGAGCAACTCCCACAACCAGATGGCAGACAACTTTCAAAGGGACACTGAACCACTGGTCCATGTAGTTGAGTGTTTTTTCAAGCAAGTCTTGACTGACTGACTTGTAGTGTTCAACATCTGGATTCCATTTACTTTTTGAAGAATCTAAAATGTAATGTCTTCAGTCCTCCCAGAATGAATATACCAATCTCTGACAGAACACGCATGTTGGCCACCAAGACTAGACAAATTAACAGATATAAAAGAAATTTTAATTGTGAAACACCACATGTACAGTATATCTCAGGTCTGGGACACTTACCTTCATTTCTTTTTCTTACTTCCATACTTCCATTCATGTGAGCTTATAAACCATTTATATTTGTTTGTAGGCTCTTATGAATGGTTGCATATTTAGACATGTGTGAACTTAATAGTTTTCAGTGATGTTTGGAATTGAAGGTCTGGATTATCTTATAATTAATGGTAACTGATGAGGCTGCACAGTGGCTTTGTTCATATGTAAAGGCTTTCTGACATTAGACTCCTTTTAGGACTTTAGCTACTACAGCTTAATGTTGGATTTCTGCTATAGATCTCAGATTTGTTGCAGGTAAGATATTATTTTCTTTGAACACTGGAAACCTTATCATCTCACACTGTGTGGAATTTTGAAAAAATAGCTGTTTTATATTTTTCTTTCAGGGTCCACAGACAGCTCCTTGTTTGCGGCGTTCTCCACTTACTGCTGTAATGTGTCTTCTGGCAAAGTTCCTTCTTTAGAGCACTCACCGAGAGGAAAGAATTGCCTGGCCCAGTATTGTTTTTCAGTTATAAGGTTATTTAGACCTTGTTTAAAGAGGCAGTACTGACTGATAAGACTGTTGTCTAGCAACGTGGAGTTGGGGGATGAGGAAGGGAAATGGACACTTGATATTCTGAGACTTGGTCAGAGTGAGAGAAATGCTAGACCCAGTTCATGTACCACACAAGATGTCTGTCCAGAACTTCAAAACCCTGTTTTCAGTTTTCAGCAGTCACCAGTAAAAAATCATTTCACTGCATGAATGTTACTTTAAAGCACAAGATGCATTTACACACATACAGTAAATATATACATAACCTATTACATTTTTGGCAGGGAGCAAACTTTGTATACTTCACAAAACATATTAGCTTTCTAAGCTTTTGTAAAAAATGTGATGTTTATTTAAATTTGATCATTTTCAGTTGTGTGATCAGTTTCAATGATATTGTATACATAAACTGCAGTACCATAACATTCCATAAAGTAAAAATAACTTTCAGATACACAATCCTTAGAAGTCCTGCAGAATCTTGCATCTTGCAAACAGGAAACACTGTTTTTAGACTTTTTTTTCAAACATGATTTCAGTAATTTAATGGCAAAGGACAAGTTTTTTATCTTCTATTGATGGCCTTCGGCATTTGTAGTTTTTCATGAAGATTTTATGGAATTTGTTAAACTGCATTTTTTGAAACTGTAAATGCCCTTGGTGTTAATATTTGACTTTGAAAATTGAAACTTCAGAATGGGCAAAGAACTGAATGGTTGAATGACATTCACAACATCTACACATATCATGAAAAAAATAAATAGAAATGATATTTATTTCTGATGCTAGGACTTCATCTGACTATTTTTCCTTATAAATAAGGGTTTACAACAAGTAAGACTAAGTTTTCATTTTGGCTGGTCTTCAGATGCAGCCTGTTATTATTATATCACGGTAAGGAAACATCTTTTTCTGATCACAAGTGCAATAAATCATTATTTATGAGCCTGTTGCCTTGTGGTTATTGTCACCATAATAAAACAACTCATATATATCCATTCAAGAAGATATTTGAACAACCTCTCTCTCGGGAATCAGATTCTGGTCTTTAAAATCTCTGGTGTTAAAGATGTTTATAAAAAACTATGGCAAACTAATGTAATGTTAGTAATATGTTTTATTCAGCAATACATGTATATTTTGGTAGTCATTTGAATACTTTCCCAGTTCAACATTATTTAATGGCTGCAATATACATTTAGACTGCCCACCGTTATCCACTCATGTACTATATTATCAAATCCAGTTCTTGAGTGCTGGTTATCTTCAGATTTTAGTAACTATGTGATGAAGACCTTTTAAATGTGGTTAATTCAATATATCTGTTTAATTAGTTTAATTAATGATTAAATGAAAACCAGAAACAAATGCAGCAATTGAGGACCTGAATTACAGTTTAAATGCTGCTGGAACCATAGGGTTTATTGTGAAGCTGAAGAAGGACCTGCATACCATAAGACTTTTTCAGCAAAGCTATGCATGAACCTCATAAGGTTCTTGCATCTTGAAAACAGGAAACACTGTTTTTAGATTTTTCTGAGCTGGGTTCATTGCAGCCGTATCAAATCTGATTCCACTTGCTTAGCGCCAAAGGTACACTTCGGCATAAGGAAAAGGGGGAGGAAAAAGGAGGAACGGGAAATGAATCCACTAAGATTTGACCCTGAGTGGCTTTCTAATGGTTTGTGAACAAAATTTTGACCTGGATGCAACTGTAGGTGAATGTATGGTGGGGAGAATTATTTGATCCACACGGTATAGCTGCTTCTACTGAATATATGTCGATATTAAGACTTGTCAACAAAAGTCCAACTTTCACTGACCTTGAAGTTTCTTGAAGATGGTACAACAGTGGCTGCAGTTATGTCTTTGATTAGCTTATCACAGGTCTCAAGTGAGAGAGAGAGAGAGACTGACAAAATTGGAATTTTTTAATATCCTTTAAGTCCAGTAATCACAGTTGCGGTTCCTCATTGGTTGGTCATCCTTGGATGATTAACTGGTGACCTCCAGGTAGGGACCCAGTCCAGATGAGTCACTTTTGGTGTAATAGGCTAAGAGCTGCTGATGTGAGGTACTTCATCATTGGAGGTGTCAAAGATGGACTTTAATTTATGATGTCCTAATGTGTTTTAGGGCCAGGACATGTTGCTTATCAAGGAGGCCCATCTTAGATGCATTCCTAAAGGTTTGAATAAGCATAGCTAAGCTCAGTTTGGGCCATTGTCCATTTAAAAAAAAACAGAAAGATTATTAGGAATCTTACTTAACACTTAATTATTGGTGTAATAATACACTTTGCTACTACAAAGCCCTGTAGCTCCTTCTTCTAATGTGACCTCATCTCCTTGTTTCAGCCATTAAGACCAAAATCAAGGAGGTGAAGAAGGAAAACTCTGACCGTAAAGTGATTCTGCAGAAGAAGAAAAAGACCTTGAAAGCTGGTAACCTAAAGAAGAAGGATCTGAAGAAGCTGGTGCTGTACCTGAAGAATGGCGCTGACTGCCCCTGCCAGCAGCTGGATCACCTGAGCAACACCTACCTGATAATGGGCCGCAAAGTGGACAAGCAGTACCTACTCACTGGCATCCACAAGTGGGACAAGTCTAGCAAGGAGTTTAAAAAGACCATGAAGAAGATGAAAAGCCATAAGTGCCCAGCTTTTGAGACTGTCTTCAAATGATCAGGATCTGCTGCTGCATCTCAAGAACATAAGAACTTGCACAAAAAACCCAAACCTTCTTTTTGTTATTGTTGTTTTTTATATAAATATATATATGCAGATTTTACTCTCATAGTAGATTGCCATATCGAATGCCATTTTTTTTTTAATTACCACCCACCATTTTAGGTCACCCTGATTTGAACACATTTGGTTTTGTTTTCAAAGTGTTGTCCTACAGGTCTTTGTAGTAAGTGAAAAAGATTGCAGCTTGAAACAAAGCTGTTCATACAGCAAAGTGGCCAGGAAATTCTCTTTCTTTGAAGCTGATACCGAAGCTTTTTACAGGCTCCAATATTTATTGAAACCCCTCCTCAAAACTGTTTTTTCTTAGTTGGACTTTCACACCACATTTGCAAATTGCACATTCTATTTTTAAATAATTGTCTCATATGGTTAGAAATGATGCCCCACAAAGAATGTATGAAAAATATAAAGAAATGATGCATTAGATCCAAAACTAAAAACCCTATGTTTGCACTCAATGTGGTTTAAAAAGTTAGCTTTCTGTACTAGTCAGAATTCTGTTGTCTTGAAGTGAGTATGAGTATCTTGAGCCACTTAAATGTTGTACATTATACATGAGGATCTTGTTTTAATAATCCTTCATTCCTTTGCAAAGTTTTGGATACTGGAGTACAATGTCATATTTCTGATACTATCCACCTTTTCCCTTGAACATCATAATGTAAGGTTACCATTTGATGATTTGGATTGGTTCTGCTCTTTTGTGGAATGTTTATAATTCATTATTCTGCATGATTTCTCCTTAACAGCAGAGTATAGTGGATGGGAAAGAATATATATATTGCTTTGTAAACTGCTCTTTTGTTGCCCTGTTATTTTTTATTTCTCGTACTTTATTTTCAACGTGTGCCTGCAGAACCCTTGTGCATTATAATGTGAATTGGTGATTAACATTGATGTGCTGTGGCGCAACCTTGAAATGTGCATGCCACCATATTTATAAGTCATTCAAAGAAGAGGAATTTAAATCTTTGCAGAAGAATAATGATATTAAAACAATTAAAAAGGTGCTGAAAAGTATGTTGTAGTATTTTGAATCAAGCTTAACTGATTGATTATTGATTATCAGATGGACACCTAATCAAGTTCCAGAGACAAATAGAGTATGTTACTCATTAAATTCAAAACTATCAAACTAGTCGCTCTTTGAAATCTGCATTGCTATGAGAATGTGAACTATTATTCTACATATCATGCAAAGTAAGTACTATCACATTTTAGTCTATTAAACAATAGTTTTTTATTTCTGTTACTCATTAGTCCAAGTTTTTTTCTTAGTTTTTGATTAATAAAAAATCTTACTTCATCAATGAGTAATTAAGACATGTACAAGTATACTGTTTTCCATGAAGAAAGCACATGACATGGTTTATAATTGTCAATAATTTTACTTATATTAGACTGAATGTACATTCTTCCATGGATACCGCTTTCAGCGTACTCTTTATTGTCACACATTCAAGACAAGAGTGGTTAATATTTTACATTCTGTCTTTAGCTTTTAAGACCATATTTGACAAACTGATAGGAATAATTCCATGAGCATTTGTGGAATTTGTGTTTTTTTCTTAAGGGCTGAGCTCATTCTAGATTGTCAAACCATTTTTTTAAAAGGTATCTTTTGTATGAACAAAAGATTATTCCAAAGCAATTCAGTACTGGGGCAATTTAGCTCTGCCTTTGCGTGTCTGATATCTGTGAAATTGCAGTAACTTTTTTTTTACATTTTTGTTTTTTAATTTCTCAGCAATACTGTGAACCACTGTTACTCCCTTTCTAACATCCGCACACTTTGTGCATAATTGATTCCAAAAAAGTCATTCTATACTGTTAAATGCTTTCTCTTTTTGTACATGCACTCTTTTCTTAAATCTTTTTTTTGTTTCTTGTACATAAAAATGAGCAATGCTGTCTTTAGCCAATATTTTGGTATTCAGTAGGCTAAAACGAGTGAGAAACTGTCAGAAACTGTTATTTTGTCATTGTAAGCATGTTAGTATGAATGATACAAAAAACAAATGTCAAGTTCTAACTTTCTTGTTTTTGATCCATCATGTACACACTGAATTATACTAGAAAAGAGTTGACTCAATTATAGTATTTTTTTAAATCCTAATGAATGTGACACAGGGATAAATGTATTAGTTTATTTGGCTCTAAATGTATTAAGAGTTTATTCGCCTAGCTGAGAGAACGGCAGCCTGACTGTGAGGATGTAGCTGACCGGACCCTCTTCACTTTCATGAGGAATGAGCCAGGGAGCTGCTGCCGGGGTGAAGATGGAGAGGGGATATGAGAGAAATGTGCAAAGGGAAGTCCAGAAAGCAAGATAAATATAGATGAGCAGGAATAAGTGAGATTAGAATCTAACTTTACTACTGAGCATCTGTAAAGTAAGTTCCTATTAAACAAAGATGGACTATAGCAAGTGGGGAAATACGATCCTTGCAAGCAACACTTGTTTTTAAAAGGTATGAGGTGCTAATCTTTCCCCAATTTCAGTATAGAACACAAACAGAACAGAACATTGGAAAATAATTTTACTGGAAATTTTGGGACAGGATAATTTGGTTGTTCTTGATTTTTTAATATCAGATGATAACACCTGTAGTGCAATCTTTTACACTGTAACTTTGCTTATGGTTAAGTAATAAATGAGGAATATTAAGGAATTGGGAGTTAGTGTTACTGAAGATCTTTTACAAAGTTTTGGTTTCTAGTTGAAGGATTTTGTGAAGTGTGTTTGTGAAGTGTTCAGCACTAAAGAAGCATCTTACTGTACTTACATTTCTTCATGTCCCATTTTCCAACATATTTTACACAGTGAAAAGAGTGAGTAGAATTATGAGGAAGACATAAAGCTCCTCCGCCTACTGGTAGAAATAAGTAATATAAGTCAGAATGTTATATTTGTTAAATTTGTCTTTTGTATGGTAAAAGGTTGAAATCATGCTATTTTCTCTCTACTTATGCCCTGTGCATTCATAACAGTTTTGTTTTCCAGCTAGTCTTAAGTTGTTGATAGTCTGAATTTCATCCTTGCAAAAGAGTATAAAGCACAAACTATAAATACAAAATAGGTTTATTATTGATGGCCAATCCCTGATTGGTTAGCCTACAAAAAATGACACGTGACACTTTTGAAACTGTACAAGGGTCAGAGGAGTCGGTATTATTCCTTTACTAGCAGAGTAGTGACCTTCTGATAATGGATGCTGGAAAGAAAACCTCTTTAAAACTGAGATTGCTAGAGATCAACCATATATTGTACCAAAACAAAATTGTTTCAATTTTAATCATACAAAGAAAACCGCAGCAATGTCACTGTCACAGCTATAGCAAAGTGGGGAAATATGAAGTGATACATTTTCAGAACTTATCTAAATGCTCAGAATGATGTAAATACAGAAAGCTCCATAGGAAATAATTATTCTGTACTTAAACATTTAAGATTTCAGAAAATAAAGCAATGCTCCCTTTGGAAAAATGCAATTTTGAAGTTGTAGAATTTTCCTTGTAGTAACATATAGTATGTCACAGTGTCTCACAATGTAATGCCTATAATTTGATTTCAGAGGAGCCTATTCTGAAGTCTCTGAAAGTTCACAACATATAAAAAAAACTAAAATAATTCAGATTGAAGTTAGTATAAAAAGCAATCTATAAAAAATAGATGCTAGATCATCTTAATCTTCTCATGAAGATAGTTCTTCCTATAGGAAATAAAGTTTTGTCAGTCTGTATTTGTCTTTCAGTACACTTAATCCTTTTGGCTAAGGCATCCTAACAGTATTATAAGATCAGGCTTTGGTATATATCATCTTAGCATAACAAACAAACCTATTTTTATCTTGTTTCATGCATCTATGCTGTTAAAAGTGCCTGTTTGAGATTAATTTGAACTGGTGTTAAAAGCCTTATTTGTGGGCAGATAAAATGGAATAGTCCATAAAGGGTTGCTCTGCTATGGCAAATTACTTTTGTATATATTCTGTCTGTATTTCACTGATGCTGATTTTCATTGGTTGTTAATGTAAAGTTAAATTGCATGTATTTGTACAAGAAACACCTGCTTAAGGACATTTTCTGTTTTTAATCACATTAACTTCTCCTATAGCTATCAGTTTTTAGGTCAGTGGACTTGGAAATCATGTTTGCATTTCTACCAGCAGGTACAGTATGTACATAAATGTAAACACCAATATAAAAGAAAATACATTAAAATCATCTGGTATGTTCTTTTTTTTGGTATTTAACATAGTCTAACTTATCAGCAAAACTTAAGGCTCCCGCACTATTAAAATGATGATAGATGGTTGAGGAGATTTTCAGTGAATCCAGTGAATTTTGCAATTAAAACAATTATATTAAAATACAAAATATTATATAATGCATAATATACAGTAAATTACATGAAATTAGATAACCATTGTAACATTTTCTTTAATATTTAGTATTTGATTCACATAAACACTGCAGCCAGTATTATAGTACTGTATTGTTCATCATTATGGCAGTATGTCTTTAAACAACAGAAGCAGAATTAACCTGTGGCAATGCACTACATTTCATGGCGATTAATTGCAAAGTACTTTATTTTAATTTCTCTGGGGTGGAGAAATGCAGTTTTGGACAGAAAACTGTCCATGATTCACTGTAAAGTTTTAAATTTACTCCACGTTTTTTCTGTCACTTGTCATACCTTAATGTAGTTGTCCGTATTTTGCTGTTATTCAAAAAATCTAAAAGGATCATTTTTTACAATTAAATAATTTAATATATGTGTGTCATACTACTACATTATACGTGTACACAGTATTTGTGGTTCAGGCCATAAAAGTATCAAAGTAGTTTATGATCATCTGTAAAACACCTTTGAATGCATTCACCTCATGCAGCATGACATTTTTCACCTCCTTTCATATTTTCACCAGCAGTTTGAAACAAAGCATACGGTGTTACCAGATGCATCTCTGAACATCCTGCTACTGGTGAGGCAGCTTTGTCTCAAATACAAATACCTGGACTGGAGAGGAGGACCACAGGTTTGAATTTTGCTTTGCAGATGGATGGGGAAATAATTTTAATTTTTAATATTTTAAAATATTTTAATTTTAAAATAAAAAAACCCTGGATGCACGCACACAATTTTTTTCCACACAAATCCTAATTTCTCTACACAAATGTCCATCATACCTCTCCTAAAATTGTAAGCTGTAGATAATGATCGAATTTTAAAATAAAGTCAGAATTAGCTACTAAGGCATGTGTTAAGTATCTCAGTATCTGCAAAGTTTCATGTGACTCAAGCTAAATACGTATTTTGAGTATTGACTTAAATGGACCACCAGCACAATAACAGCTTTTCCCAGTTCTTTAGTGCTGCTGGGAATGTAGTCTTAGAAAACCTACAGTATATGGACCGAGGCTGTCCTAAACTGGGATTGTGTGTTCTGCTGGTATTATAAAAAAATAGGGGCGTTGGTCCTGGAGGAATTCATCTTCTAGAATTCTCTGTCCTCGGGCACCCTTTTTCCATGCACTTTTTAATATTCTACCCGTTTTAAAACTATTTTTCTTCTGTTCTCCCTGCCCCTTATATTCCTGCTTTCTCCTACAAGTTGCTATACTCTCTTGATCCACAAACCAATACATTCACACTAACTTCAACAGCTCTAAGTTACAAACATAAAGACCAATGAGAAGCATTACACTGTATGAACAAGTATGCCTAGTACATTTGCAACATGGCATATGGCATATTCACAAATGTAAGAAAAGGGTAGAAACACAATTCACTTGTTAATGAAGTCACTGTAATGAGGTACTAAAAATAGATTTGGTAATAATTTCTCATCCTCCAGCACTGATACTCGTGAGGTCATTTGTTGAATTCATTTAAAAGAAAGCTCCTTTTCAAAGAAAAATCCTTAAAGGCTTTAGCAATATTGAAAGACAAACTCAGCCATTTGTATTCCATGGTGTGTGCTCATGTTGGGGTTATACATATTACAAAATATCACCAAGTGTTCACAGTTTTCAAACAAAGGTGCATTTGAAGATAACAGAATTTCATAATGCATATTGTTTTGTTCCTGTCTGGAATTGTCTTGGAATGTGTGGTGCTGACTGGACATGTCTGGAGGTGTCTGAGCTTGTCTTGCGATTTTTCATGGCAACTGTTTGGCCATGTCTAGGGTCCCTGAGGCCCTGAGCTTGAAGTTATCTTAAGTTGTCTGGGGCACTCATTTTGTAAAAGGCGCCTCCTGTATAAAAAGGTGGCTCCCATTTCCTGTCCTGAATAACCCTAAACACAAGATGCACTTGCTGATCTTAAAGATATCCCCAAGGACATCCCCGCAAATATTATGGGATGTCTGCAGAAACTTGGTCCTCTCTGGGAAAGTATGGAACCTCCTCACACTGTCTGTGGCATTGTGCCGGTATCTTGAGATTTCGTGGGCTGTCTGGAGCTGTTTTACATGATCAATTTGGTGATGTCAAAGGCTGTCTTGGCCTGTACAGAAATGGGTAGTGTGGTAGTTTCTGGAGCCTTTGTGTGGAGCTATGTAGAGTTCTCCTATAGTATATATGTCTGTGCAAGTCAGGATTGGCAGATATGCTAGTTTACTAATCAAACACTAATCATTAATTAATTTTGAAATTAACTAGAATACACTAATCAAAACATGTTAGTTGTGGTTCTACATATCTCCAATATAATGTGCACTTCTCTATATTTTGTTTCAAGTGATCTTGATTCTATTTCATCTCTCATGTTACGATATATTGAAAAAAGTACCTATTTTCTTTACAAAAGCATTTACATGTATTAAAGTTTTTTATATAATTTTTTAATTGCCTTGATTTTATTGAAGGCTTACATGGAAAAAAAAACACAGGGGAGTTGTGTTTAGAATATCGTGTTTTTTTTTGTGTTTGTGTGACTGCTCACCATTGCATTCTTACAGACGTTTTCTCAATAGATTCCTTTTTTCCTTAAAGAGTCATTCTGTGCTACAACTATAAGTACTCTTGACAGAGGTCAGAGTCATTATGATGCGTCATGGCAGCTAGACTTCAGGGTCCTTTCCTTGAGCTTGTGTTTCCATAATGATGGGAAAGGTCACAAAGGGGTAGGTTTTTGGGATGGCTTCCCAGGGCACCTGTAACTTCAACCCAGAGTCAACAAGAGACATTCGGGGGAGGTGAAACTGCCTGAGGGGACTGAGCTATTGGCTAGTATTATGTTTAGTGATGTAGTTTCATACACAGAATAGTATTTGTTTCATTTCTATACCTATTATGGTCTTGTCTAGTAAGAAGAAGACCCAAATAATCATGTTTAATCAACAGTAATTTTGCCAGCAATGGATTCATATTAGCTTATTGTTTTTTTTAAATACTAACCAGTAAGGTTGTGCGGAGAAGAGGAACTTTGTTATAACTTATTCACCTGCTAACTGCTTTTAATAGATGGTAATGCTGTAATATCCTGTTAATGTTTTAGTTATGGCTGGCATGACTCACACTGTTGTCTCTCTGGAGCACCAGGGCATTGCCACCAAATGAAGCAGCTTGGATTTGAACCTGATATGTGAATCTAATGGCTTTGTAAACATCTTTAATAAAAACTGTCATTTTTTTTCCTAAAAATTATATATGCTTACAAAGTGAAATTTACCATACACCATTCTCTGAAAAGAAGGCATTATGTTAACTTTATTATATTGTACTATATTTTATTAGATGCATTTGATAGATATCTTGACTTTCATTCTCTACCAATTCAATTCAAGTTCAAATTGACATGTATGTAAAATACCATAGACAATGATTTTAACATTTTCCCCATCGACTGCAATGCATTTTCTCCACCACAAAAGCTAGTCCCACTATGCTCCTTCCACTTTCTCTTCAGTCAGGTTGCTTAATTGTGATAATAACTGACAAATAAAAATTACTTTTATGTTTTGGGCTATTCATGGAGTATTTTATAACAAATATTCTTTTACATGGGCACATTTGTCTGAGATGACCAGTTGCTGTTTGGTTAATAAATCAGGAAACTCAAACAAGTAACTGTTTATGAAGATTCATCATTAAAAATGTTATCTACCATGTTCTCGTTGATTTGCTAAAATCTGTAAAGGACTGGTTCCCATGTGGGCCAGGAAAGGACTGGTAGATGGTGGACTTTGGCCCCCCAGAAGTCATTATTAATAATAGAGCTGCAAGGTGATTAACAATGCAGCCTTACAGCTCCAGGGTTCTGGGTTCAATTCCATTTATCTGTGTGGAGTTTGTTCTCTCCAGATGCTGATGGCTTTTGAAGGATGCACTTCTTAACAAGGTTTAGTTGTCTACTCCCAATTGTCCTTTTCTATGGGATGGTGGAGGAGGGGGTGTTCAACATGATTTTTTATTTTGTACCGGGGGACTGTTTCTATGATAACCAACATTGGCTATGTGACAGTAGAGAATTAGAACCAAAAAACAACTAAAAAAGCAAAAAAAATGACTTTATAACTCTTCATTTGTGGACTTTCTGTTGTTTTGAAAAGTGTTCAAAAGACATCCAAAACATATGCATGACAAATGCTCCTAACTCCTAACTCATAGCACTTAAAATCCAAAGACTCAAGCTAGACTAGGCTGCCTGGACAGCTTCTTATAGGGTTGGAGGCTTGTGTCCTGAGCAATCAATGGATTGATTGTTTGTGCAAATAACCATGAAGACTTTCATTTTTGGGTGGGGGGAGTCATATATTCAGGGTCATCTGCAAGTTATATAAGTTAGAAAACTGAATGAAGGAAGGATATAAAAGGAAGCCCAAAACAAAGACAAATGCAGAGACTAGCTCACCATCCTCTTGTGATTCTATCACTGTCTTTCAGGCACCTCCTAGCCTTGAGCCAAAGAGTGGTTAACTTTAAAAGGCCAACCTCCAGTTACAGGAGAATTTAAAGCTGTCGGTGGTCTAATGGGGTTACGTCACTGTAATGTTTTTAGAAAAATTGAGCCAAGTTACACTCCACCACTAGTTCCTAGTCACAACACCACTGTGCCATGCGTAGCTCATCCACCTCTGTGATTCTAACGCTGTAACGTGGCACCTCCCAGCCTTGAGCCACACAGCACATCCAGAGACACGGGAGAATTCTATTTCAAAAGGGTACTCTCTCGTCATGGGAGAATTCCAGGCTGTCGAGGATCTTAAGGGTTA